AGAGTTGTTGGGACAAAGAGAAGTAAGCAAGGAGCCTGTTCTATTTTTTTATCATGGTCACATCAATTGATACTAGGATCTGCCAGGGCCAAAATTTATGTATATCCCAACCCTGACCCTATTCAGTCTCTTGAGTCCGCTTTCAATCTGCATTGGGTTGTCGTCATATTTAGAGAGAACCAAAATTAGGGTGAGTGGGATAGGAGTATATACCTAAGTTTTAGTTTTTTAAGATTTTTTTTTAGTTAATTTTTCACCCATAGATGTGAGAGGAAAAAAGTGTTTACATGGCTAACTGTATTTTACTAAAAAAATGTGGAAATTATTTGACTTAACGGGGGCTGAGGCAGAAGAGGGAAGCCCAGAGCAACTCCTAATGTTTTAAAGGAGTTGCAGCCCTGCACAGGAGTTAGATATGAGGGCACTGTTCTGTCTGGTGTTGTAGCCATCTCAAGAACAAATCAACAGCAACAAGAAAAAGGAGGAAAAAAACCAATAAATTTTTAAAATTTAATCAGTGTTTGTTTTTACTTCCTTTCACTGCCTCGTAGATCTGAAATGGCACAGCTAGACTGCCTAAGTGAATAGTCTTAGCTACTCTCTAATAGACATGTGAGTACAAAGTTTAAAAGGCAGGCCCCTGCCCTTACTGCTACGGACCCTTCATATTTCAGAGCAATGGCCCTTTTTGCATTTTTTATTTTCCCAATTCACCCTAAAACTTCTACATTTTATCCTTTCATGTGGCCTCAGTGGGAAGGAGAATGGGTCACGTGTCATGTTCAATGAAATGTGGTATATTCTTTTTACAGTGGCCACCCAAGTAGATTGTTTCCTAACCTACTGAGTATCTGGTCTTTAGGATTAAAAAAAAACTATTGGAAGTGTAATTGACATGTAATAAGCTAAAGGTGTCTTAAGGTATACAATTGATAAGTTTTGACATAGGGTGCACCCATGAAACCATTAATACAACAGATAGTGAACATACCCTTTACTCCCAAGTTTCCTCATGCCTCTTCCCATCTTCCCCCTTGCCCAAGTAGCCACTGATCTTTCTGTCACTGTGGATTAGTTTGCGTTTTCTTGAGTTTTTTTATAAATGAGATCCTACAGTATATTGTACTAATTGGGCTTTGATCGCATAACCTTGACTGCAGAGTTGGCATCTTGTATTTGGAATCCATGAAGCAAACCCTCCTACGTAACATCAGTGGTACTCAGAGTTGTATTCTCTAAAGGGGCAATGTTAGAAGGAAAGAGAAAAAGAACAATGGGGAACAGTGTTGGAGTAAGATTATCGAATTCTGGGGATCAACACATTACCCCCAGCCATCCTGCTCATTTTCTGGTTAAACAATAAAACTTTGAAGCCTAGTCCAATCCTAGATCCTTGCAACAACCAGTTGGTTTTGCTCTGTTTAAGGAATTTGGCTTTTATCACAGAAAGAAGTATCTGGGACTGAAAAACTTATGGAAGGCTTAATATAACTCTCCCTAGCCACTGAAAAATAGCCTTGGGAATGCACAGCCTAGTGACTACCAAGAGCGTCCTCTCCACAGCTGTAGCTTTGGAAACCAGAGCTCTAACCTCATTAGTGGTGTCAGGGCCTCATTGCTTACTCTTAAGTGTTACAGATTGCTTCAGACTAGTTCTTACAAATAGTTTTGTGACTTTTTGACATAGCAAGGGTACCCACCTAAATGTTAAAAAGGAACTGTTTGGGATCTGGTACCCTAATGTAGACATTGTGTGCCTGCATGACATAGTCTAGAAGAAGTACAATGACAGTCTTGCACCTGAACTTACCTAAGTCATAAAGCCCCCACAGAATTGTCTGTTCCCTCGTTTCCGTGATTGGCTTAGCCAAGAAATTATAGTCAGGATTATGTGGAACACAAATCACCCACTGGGGCTATTCCCCGCAAGATTGTGCTGAAGAAAAGTAACTTGTGATTTTTTTTAGGTACCTGTTTTATAAAAGTCAATAACTGAGAATGTAGGATAAATAAGACAGGAACTTGCACTTTTGAATGGCATCAACCCCTCATGAATGCAAAGTACGTGTCCACCTTGTGTAACCCGGGTACTGAGTCATTTTACAAAGATGAAGCCAAAATTTGAAGAAGTTAAAAATCCAAGATTATGCAACAAGGTATGCCTGACTTTGTGAGATCTATTGACCAGCAAATGAGAAAGTTGCCTTGTGAGAATGTTCCTTTATCAATATTCTCTCCTACTCCACAGAGACTGAAAAGTTCTTTATGTCAGTGAAAAGCTGAGTGAAAGGAAGGAGTCTTGAAATGGAATGTTATATTGGATATACAGATGAATTCGGTGGGGAAGGGGGCCCTGGAGGAAGGAAGTAAGGGAAACTACTGGGTGCTGGAGAGGTGCATTCATCCCCCAGGGCATGAGCATCAGTATCCCGTGGATTCCAACTTAAACACTAGCAGAGGCCAGCAGGGCAGTCAAAGGCCTCTACCAAGGAGAACTCCAGCATAGCTAGGGAGCAGTGAATGGCAACATGTCTTGCCTTTAACCTCTGGAACGTGTGGTGTCCGTCACTTTTGTATAGTGTTAATCCACCACTGGCTGCTACAACTCAGAGATCTATTAGGAAATGACAGCCAGGTGTGCTGTTTTTGTTTTCATGTTTTATTTTTAAGAAATCAAAAAGTAGAAACTCAAGATTTTCGGCAGCTGCTGAGCTGTCCGCAGTACTGGAGAAGGCAGTGCGTGAATGGTCACCTAGTGCAGCTATTCCTGCCAGGCTTCCATAATAATTCACCCGTTCTCCATCTCTTTGCTCCAGGATTCATCACAGGCTGTAAACGCAAGTACTTGCAGGAATGAGGCAGTGAAGAGTGAAGGAGGCTGGGTGAGGACTGTATTGAACTGGGAGGACGTTCCCATCTAAATTTCTGGCTGATTATTGCCATTGGAGAATATGAGACAATGTTTGCCAGTTTTTTGAGAGAAGCTGGAAATCAGATAGGTGACATCACCTAATCTTAAAGGGTTGACAACTAATTTCAATCTAAAGAGGAAATAAAACTTTATAAAGTCAGGAGGAAAGATGCTAACCTTTGTGGATGACTGAAAACTAAGCCTAAGACAAAAGGAACTGTGTAAGTGCTGTCCTCTAGTTGGTAAAGTTTCTTAAAGAGGCATGAGTTAATAATTCTGTAACCTCTATACAGATGTATGGTATAGAAAATGTGGGGAGAGGAGTCACTTTATAGTGGAGTAACCTGACAAACGCTACCTTGGCCAGGTGATCAAGGTCAACGTCAAAAGGGATAAATCATGGTGATAGTATGTACCCTCGATACGCTGTGGTAAGAATGACACTTTACTGCTGTCTTACTTAACAAAAACCATGAAGAACACATCAGACAAGCCCCAAATGAGGGACATTCTAAAATGTACCCTCAAAGCCATCCAAATCATCGAAAACAAGGAAAAGTCTGAGAAACTGTCAGACCAGTGGAGGCTAAGGAGACATGATGACCAAATGTAATGTGATAATTTGGATGGGTCCTAGAACAGAAAAAGAGTGAAATAAAAACAAATGAAATCTGACTAAGGATAGAATTTAGTTAATAATGATGTATTTATTTTGTTTTATTAGTTGTGACAAATGTCCTGTAATAATATAAGGTGTGATGAAAGATGTCAACAATTGGACAAACTGGGTGTAGGGTAAATAGGCACTCTTAGCAGCTTTGCTGTAAATCTGAAACCATTTAAATGTGTTTTTATTTAAATTGCTAAACTCTGCACAGGCCACTTAACCATAATGAGAAATGGTAGAAATACTATTTCTCATCTATCAGGTGGGCAAAATTCCAAAAATTGACAATATAATCTATTGAGACTGTGGGAAAACAGCCACACTAAGAGATTTATCAGAATTTTGCCAACACCTACCAAAATTAGACAAATATTTATCTTTTGGCCCAGAAATACTATTTCTGTGGATCTGTCCTAAAGATACACTGGCAAAAATGTGAAAAGACATAAGTGCACACAAACCTGTCCACTACAGCATTGTGTATAATAACTAAAGATGGAAACAATTCCAATACCCACTAAAAGGTTGTCAAAACAAAAACCTGCATCCAGTCAAGCCTCTAGAATCTAGAGTCTGGGTCAAAGTACCCCTTTACAGGAAATACAGAAGACAAAATATGTTAACACAACAGAGATGGAGTCAGTAGCATCTAGGCAAAAACAGTGCAGAACAAATAATGCAATTTCTTCCACAATTACAACGGAATAAAATTTCTCTAATTGTCTTAAAATTTTTAAGTGCTAGATATTGGATAAAAAGTAATTAGTTGTGATGGTACTGTAGTTTTGGGTTTTTTTAGAATGTCCTTGTCTTTTAGAGATATGTACTGACTATACATGTAATATGCTAAGACTTGCTTCAGAATAATCTCATTGTGGGTGTGGGAGTTTAGATAGATGAGGAACACTATGAATTGATAATTGTTGAAGCTACTACTTGGGGATTTCATACCATTGTCCCTACTTTCACAAATATTTAAAATCTTCCATAGTGAAAAGATAACAAAAATTGTTCAGGTCAAAAAATTGTATCTATAAGCCAGATTCAAACGATGAACTACCAATTTGTATGCATTGTCCTAATATATTAAATAGCATATGACGATACATGAGGACAACAGATTGTAATGGTTCTTAGTTGAAATACCAGCCCTTCCTTTTTCACCATTTCTTACGGGAAGATTGATTTGGACAGGATTTTAGGCTCTGCACACATTTGAAAATCCACACCCTTGCTTCAGCTGGCTTCCTCCTGGAAAGCAAAGCCCCTCTGACTCATCAGCCTGGAAGGCAGGCCCTCCCTGTGTCAACGGCCCCAGAGATGGAGGGCAGGTGCTGGGGGAAAGGGCCAGCTGACGAGAAGTACAGTCTGGGAGAACAGCATGGAAGCAACTGGAACTGGGGAAAAAAATAAACAGCTGAGTCTGCCTGTTTTTAACATTTATTAATCGAAAAATATGTAAAATTCCACTTTGTACCCCCAGTTCTTGGACTCTCAAGGGAGGTAGCTGCCAGCTCTATGTATCAGGTGTAAACCTAAGTGCTTATGCCTTAAGCGATGAGGAAGCGAGGCCCAAACGAGGGAACCGCAAAATCAGGCCCATGCCCTGCAGAGGACCTGCCTGGGGGACCTGAGCCACAGGCACATGGCTCTTTTGCCAGAGGAAATGGGGGCAACCACAAGAGTGGGCCACTCTGGGGCAACTCCTGTACAGCTAGGCTCCCAGGGTCTGGGGAGTTTCTTCTCTTGTCACTGGTGCTGATGGCTGAGTTCCCCCAAAGCCAGCAGAGGGGCACATCCAGAGCCCTCAAGCAAAACTGGCTTCCCTCAGCTTCTGCAGGGAGAACCTGGACCTCAGGCCTCTTTTCCCTCTTCTTCTTGGCCCAAATCCACCTACAGGAGACCCAGAGATAGGACCCTGCAGCCAGTCAGGTGCTCTCTGGGGCCATCGCACCTCCACATCAGTCCACACAGCCACCCAGGAAGCCTGGGCCAGTCACTATCTTCAGCCTCATTATTGCATGCCAACTGGGTGCATGGGCCAGGGAGCCTGACCAGCACTGAGGCCGGGCACAGGAGGGGCTTGGGCCACAGGCTGCAGCTGCTGCTGGGACTGCCAGATGTGATGGAGCTCCTTGAACTGCTCCACCATGCGGTCTTTGAGGTCTGGGTTTGAGATCTGTAGCCGGATACTATCAGCTGACCAAGAAAGCTCCCCTGAGAACATCTCTAGCAGCATCCGAGCTGCTACGGGCACCACCTGGGGGGACAAAGAGGAGACAGGAAAAGGAGAACCTTGGCAGGGCTGTCAAATCCAGTCGTGCATGAGGGTATCCACCAGGGGGCAGGGGCAGCAGTTTCTACTTCATACAGAGGCTACTTGTGTGTGGGCAGCCCTGAGCCACCACCCTGGGGCAAGGGCCTAGCCCCAGGATTCTCCAATATTCAAACCAAAGCAAAGTTGGCGGGGTGGGAGACGGGGGTATACCTGTACAGTGATGAGCTTCTTCTCTCGGGGTTTGCGGTCAGGCCACTCCTCCCCAAAGCAGAAGAAGATCTCAAATGGCGGTGGGGTGTTGGTCTGGCCCTTCTGAAACAGGATGAGCTCTGCATTGAGATTGAGACCCTAAGTCAAAGGCTGGAACCGCCCCCGGACGAAAGGAGGCCAAGAGTAACACGATATGGGGCCCTCACCATTGAGAAAATGCTCCAGGCTAAAGAGCTTGGTCTTGACCTCCCGCTGAATGGGGTTGGGGTGCGAGCCATGGGCTGAGGCACAGGGACCGCTCCAGAACACTTTGCACTGGCACAGGCGGATAGCGTACAGATCTTGGCCTTGCAGCTGGAGGATGAGCCCACGGTCCAGGACATCCAGCAGCTGGTTGGTGTAGAAGCGCTGCTTGTCGCTGGGGATGTCCTCAGCGCTGGGGAAGCGCACTTGCTCTAGGCTCACAGGGCCGAAGAGTTCCACCTGCTCCTGGGTGGCCTCCAGCTGGCTGTAGAAGAGCCGGCAGCCGTGGGGGTTGCTGATGGTGAGCGCCCGGGGTGGCCGCCCCCGGTATTGGAACTTGATCTCCAAGTCGGTCACTGTGGGGCAGAGGAGCAGGCCCACTCGGCCCATGAGCTCCATGCCTCCCCATTCTGCAGCCCACTGACTTTCTCTGCCCAGCAGCCATGCTGTTGCCAGCTCTCCCACTTCCTTCCCCCACCCAAGAAGGGACTGGCATGGGCGTTTTTGTTCTTCATCTTCCTCCACCCTCCTTGCAAACCAGCCGCCCACACTGCCTTCCCCTGCCCAGCCCACCCATGGGTCCTTACGAGGCAGCATGTGGGGGCTGATCAGCAGGTCGGGCAGCAGTTGTTCGCCTGGAGGGGGCAGATCGGCAGCCAGGGGCCCAGGCTGCGTGCTCGGCACCTCAGAGAGCAGCTCCCTAAAGTCAGTGGGGTTGCCAGGGACAGGGCCCAGAAGGCTGGGGTCTGGAGCAGGGGGACCAAGCACAACAGGCGGCTGGAGAGTGGGTGGCCACTTGACTTCCTCTTTGGGTAATGAATAGGGTGCCATGGCGGGGCCAGGCTGCACTGCTTCTACAGAAGGTGGGGGTGGACAAAGCTTTAATGCCACTTCTAAAACTGCCTCCCAGGCCTACATACTCCCAGCCCTGGGCCTCTCCCCAGATTCCCTTCTGCCTCCCACCAGGTACCTGTGGTACCTGCAGCTTCTCCTTATACTAGACCCCCAACCACATCACCTCCCAGCCCCACCTGTGAGGCTCAGGCTTGGTAACATCCTCTGGAGCTGAAGGGAAGACACAGTCAAAGGAGGAAGGAGGCCAGAGAGAGAGAAAGAAGGACAGGTTATTAAATTGATCTGATGCTAAAGAATTAACACATGAGACCCCCAAGGCAATTCCCCAGTCTTCAGCTTAGCCAAGGCCAGGCCTTGCCTCCAGTCCCAGCTCTGCCATCCCAGGCATGTCGGTAGGCTCTCAGTGCCTCAGTTTCCGCACCTGCAGGTGCTAATACCTACTAAACCCCAACTGCTGTGACAGTCAGACCATGTGTGGGCATGTTTTATACCAACAAAGTCCCAGGGGGTTCAAGGTGGTGACTTTCTTCCTATCCTCAGAAACCGGAGAGAAGAAACTCAGAGAAGAGCTGCAGGGAGAGCGGCAGGGCTCCGGAGGAGGGACTGCTCAGCCCCCCAGCAGAGTGGGACAGCAGGAACGCCCTAGCGGGGCGCACCACATCAGTGCAGACAGAAGTGGCGGAGAGCGGCCCCCGGCTCACCTCTTCCTCTTCCTCCTCCTCCTCCTCTCCTGCATGAACAGTGTAATCCTCGCTGGGCTGTGCCTCTGCAGAGCCAGAGAGAGAAAAGCAAGACAGGAAGGAGTGAGCAGGGGAGGAGGAGGAAGGCCGCCAGGGCTCCAGGTGGCAGCTCCTGCCATGGCTTCTCCCCTCCCCAGAGCTGCCCAGAGTGACTGAAGGGCCACGCAGCCACTAGGAATCAATACGGACCCCCGCCGACCCTGTGGCACTCAGCTCCCTGGGCCACCTGACCTACACTCTCTGAAGCCAAGAACCAAGAACAAGGGTTGGCTGAGGAAGACAAACCTAGGGGCCGGGTCCTTGCCAAGCCATTCCTGGCCTCACAAGTGATCCACTCCTGGGACCCCTGGGTGTTATGACCTAGCAGCGTGTCCCCGACTACTGCATGTTGGAGGGGCCCTAGGCCTTCCTGCACAACCTCCTAGGTGGCCCCACAGGGCCAGGCAGGATACCTGCAGGAGTGGGGCCATTGGAGCAGACCTCGTAGATCTTGTAGGGCTGAGGCGGCATGTCCCGGGGCCCGTCATAGATGAGGCGAAAGTCACGGCTCTTGTTAAGGGCACAGCGCAGGTTGGCCTTCCACTTGGCCGGATCGGCCTCGTCCACGCCCTCCGTGTACTTCCCGGTCTCCTTGGCCCAGGCCTGGGACAGGACGACAAGACAGGCAACCACAGAGAACCTCACCCTTCACCAAAGGCCCAGCCCTTCCTGGCCGGTGGGAGTCACTGCTATCGATGAGACCTTCAGCGACAAACTGGAGGAGCCCAAGGGCCCATTTGCAAGGCAGGCTATGAGGCCAGTCCTTTGGGGCTTCAACAAGCGAAGGGAAATCTAGGTGCTGTTAACCGTTTTACACATTTTAAATGTTGAATTGTGTGGCCGTGTTAGCTATCCAAAAATAAGAAAGGGATTTGAAGTGAACCTTAAAAAAGGGGTCAGGTTCAAAGACTAAGAACTACATAGCCAAAGCTTCAAAAATAAGCATTCTCTTTGACCCAGAAATGTTTAACTCTAGGAACTAACCCCAAAGAAAATCATTTAAGATGTGCTAAGGGTTAAAAATTGAGAGGACATCCCTGGCATTGTGGTCTTCAACACTGAAACAGGAAAAGCAACCTGAGGTGTCCAAAAACTGGGACTGGGTAACTAAACTGGACTAACCTTTCCAATGGAACATTCAGTGGTCACTAAATGTGTTGTGCGTTGTTGGAGAGGAAAGCTGGTCCTGATGGTGGGTGAAAATGCAGGTTATAAAATGGAATATATGGTTTGATTCCATATGTGCACTTCATCTACACACACATGCAGAAAATTGAAAAATATAAGCAAAAAAAATTCCTAATTGTTACCTCCTAGTATTAAGATTACAGGGGAATTCTGTGGTCTTCTTTTAGTGGCTGATACACCAAACGTGCACCCTGGACATCACCCACATGTGATGAGAATGACACAGGAACAAGGAGGAGGAGTTACAGAAAGGTCTCCTGGATGCCCCTCAGTCCTTGTCTTGCTCTGGGGATTAGGTTAGAAAGGTGTGCCTGTGGCCGCTTAATCCAGGCCTGGGGTCCCCTGCAGCTAGGCAGATGGGAGAGTGGCCAGTCTGAGATGTACAAGGGAGTCCTATTCTAGGGAGGGGGTGCCTCAGAGGTCCAGGAAGGACCCCTCCCAGGGCTTACCTTGAAGATGGTGTTATCTCCGTCCTGGCTGGGGCCATGCCGTGTGGCATGGCGCCAAGGGATGTAGAAGAATTTCTTTTCCCCATTGACCCACTGAAGCCCCGGGTACTGGCAGCTGTTCACTTGGGCCACCAGCCAGGGCTTCAGCCGCACGCGGCGGGGTGGAGGAAGGGCAGCGGGGGCAGGCTGGTTCATGGCAAAGGGGTCTGCCGGAGAGAGCAGAGGAGGGTATCAGCAGATTTGTAGCTGGCTGCTTCCTGGGGCAGGGGATGTGGGGGCACTCAAGGAGCCGAGCCAGGGCCCTGTAGGACTTTTCCTTCCTCTCAACACTGGGGGCTGGAGTCTCTCCAGTCCATTCAGGTGCTCAAGTCAGTTCTCTCAAACCATCAGTTTTCATGTCACAAGGTCTCTGCTTCTGGGCTTTGGGAGAAAGGAAGGAGGGAGTTTACAGCTGTAGTGGATGCTGTGTGTGTCCCACCCAGACACCCTGTACCAGGGAGGGCAACAACTCCCCAGCTGCTGCAAGGCCAGCACAGCACAGAGCTGCCCATGCCAGAGAACTGCCCTCGGCTACCTCACTCCAGGGCCAGGCCCACCCCTCCACTCTGGGGCGACAGCCCACAGCCAGTGGGTGACTGGCACACGGGGACAAAACACCGGTCGCCTTGCTTCAGGTGGAGCAAATGTGTGCTCCAGGCTCCTCATGGGTTTCGGCTGAAGCTAGTCTCCAGCTGATTCCTCATCCTTGCTTAGGCCCCCTTCCCCCACTTCCTTCCAAGAACTCCCTCAACAAACCACCTTCTAGGAAACCTGGTGAAAGGGAAAACCTGTGAGTTAGGGAGGGTTTGCACACTCTGTCCTCAGAGCTTCCTTCTTCAGGTTCCCTCAGGAATGAAGCTCCCCCCACCCCGCCCCCTGATCTGGACATTTTGAGAGAAATCCCATCAGCCAACCCCTCTCCTTCCTGTACCACTGGCAAGGACAGCAGCCACCAAACTTAGAACTTACTCTTTTAAAGCCATCAGTTTCCTAGACTCTGGTTCCTCCCCACTGACCATGCATTCATTCAGCAGCTAGTAAGCACCTTATGTTTGCCAGGAGCTGGCAAACTGCATGGATCTGCAGGAACTACAGAGGCAGTGTCCCCCGTGGAGCGAGAGCCACTTTCTTGGGCCACAGTCTCTGCCTCCCTAGTCAGAGGCCAGCTGGCCACACAGAACCCCTGCCTTATCCTCTCCACCTGTCAGCCTCTCTCCAGACCCAAGGCCTGAAACTTCTCTTTGCCATCTTGACCCCCTTCCCACTCTGTTCCACTCCTAGGTGGTTTCTCTCCTGCCCTTGCCCTTGATCTGTGAGCCCAGGGTCAGAGACAGAAAGGACTGAGCCATCATAGCCCCCTATCCTGGGACTCAGAGGGGACTCTTGTCTTGGGGCAAGGAAAGAACAAAGGGCTGAGCCGCGATGAGAAATCAGGCTGCCTCCTGCCTGGGGTTCTAGTTTCTGGACACATGTGAGTAGGTGGGCATGCAAGCATGTGTGTAAGAGAGCACACACTGCCCCAGGACCATGCTTCTCTCCCACTTCCTTGATACCCCAAGCCCCTAGAAGATGCTCCACAGGTAAGGAGAGGGAGTGGTGGTGATGAGGGTGGCACAGGGATGGGGCAGGCCAGAGTCTTTCCTAGAGGCCACGCTTCCTGGTACAAGAATGCCAACACTGACCCTCTGGGACGGGATCCCCAGCACTCACACTCCACTTGCCACAGCACCATGGATGGCCCATGGCCCACTCCCTCCATTGAGATGACTGGTTTGGGGCTCTTGCTAGGCCATGCACTGGCTCCCCCATCTTGTTTACCATCCAGGTGGGCAGGCAACCTCTTCAAGGGCAGGAGTGCCTCCCTCTCTTTTTCTTCCTCCCCACCTGCCCCACCATCCGGGCACCCTGTCATTCACTAGACCAAAGTAGGACTTAAGAAATACCAGCCAGGGAAGGTAATAGCTCAGTAGTGGAGCACATGCTTAGCATGTATGAGGTCCTGAGTTCAATCCTCAGTGCCTCCATTAAAAAGAAATACCAACCAGATGTTGGCTGTCCTCCACTTGTTTATTCCCCCACCCTAACCCCAACCAGCCCTCCTCTCCCCAGGATCCTCCTCTGACTCAAAGGAGGTGAGGCCAGACCCAAGAGGAAGGCTTCTGGGGCTGTGATGCAGGCAAGGGTTGGAGGGGGCAGGCCTGGCAGGAAAGAATGGCTGGAGGAAATGAGGTATCTGGGTTGGTGAAGTGAACACGCAGTGGGGTGGGGATGAGAGGTACTGCCATGTGACAAAGGAACTAGGGTTTAAGCCAACACCAAGTCAGCCACCGCTGAAACAGGCTAGACTCAGGTTGAAGATCTTTCTAACAGCTAAAGCCCCCCAACCAAGGGCTGGATTGTTGCTGGAAGCAGCAGCTTCTGGGAGTTCTCAAGTCCTGGTGGGCTTCCAGGGTCACACTGGGTCATACAAACACACACACACACACACACACACACACATTCATACATCATCATTCCAGGCCAAAGCACCGAGCACTGAGGCTCAGTTTCCCCTGAAATTCCCCACCCAGTACCCTTTTGGGTTATAGTGGCTAAATGCCACCTCCGCACTGCTAAGAATTTCCATCTGCAAGCTGCTCCTCAGAGCAGTGCCCAGGGCTGGGATAGGACAGGGAGGGTGGGAGAGCACCCAGCCCGGCCCCCAGGCCTCAGAAGACGGGTGGCTCGGGTGGCTCTGGTGGCTCGGTTCCCCTTTCTGCACTAGCCTCCACCCAGCCCCGGGGGAAATGAAAGTGGCCAGACCGGACAACTCGGAAGCCTGACTCACTGTGAGCTGGGGGCGGGACGGGATGTGGAGAAAATCACATTTGGGTCCCCTAGACCAAATTCTCACTCTTTCACCCCGTGGCCCACCCCCCTACCCTCAAGCCCACTGATGGTCATTGTACGTTGTGTGGCTCACAGCACTGGAGAGCTTCACCCGCCATATTTGTATGTGTAGCACTCCTCACAAAGGCCTGGGTCCTAGAATAGAGGGGCGACGGTCACAGTAGCAGGCCATTCTGGCTAAGAGAAGGTGGACAGAGGAACGCTCTGTTGACACAGAGGGAAAGGCAAGCTTCCCTGAGAGTCAGGCCCGCAGCTCTGCCAAAGGTGGTGCAGCTGGGAGGCCAGAAAGGTCGCCGACTCTGCCCAGCGCAAGGAGGAAGTCCAGGCGAGTCCAACTGCCTGGCCTGCCCCAGCACTGCTCTTCAACACAAAGGTTTTGAACGTGTAACTCTGGTCTCTTGTCAGTAAGGTGCAGCACCTTCAAGCAACACAGGGATGGTCTCTGGAGAGGGCCTCCCACGACACGCCTGGCCAGGGCCAAGGGAGGGTCTGTCCAGCATGCCACAATAGGGTCTTCAGCTTGCGGGGTTGGGGGGGTGTTGCTTGCAGCCAGGTGCACCAGGACCAGGCTCAGCATCAGCTCCCCAAGGAGGCTTCCTCTCGCCCAGAGGAGGGCTTAGATCTGACTCAGACTATCCTAATGCCAGGAGTTCTGAATTTCAGTGCCTTTGTACAGCACCCCTACTTTCTCTCCAGAGAGAAGCAGTGGCCCAGATTCCCAGGGGATCCCAGAAGCTATAGCACAGCCCTCAGAAAGTCCATCCTACACCCACTACCCGCGGCTGGGAGGAGGACTTGATTTTCCAGCAGAGGGCAGGCTGGTCAAGGGGGTCTACCCTGACTCCTTGACAGCTGATCAAGTCCATAGCCCTCAGACCTAGCCTTGTGGACTTGAGCCCGGGAAAGTGAGGAAAGCCGGAAGTGCCTGTGTCAGCTTCCATGGAAACATCAAAGGAGGTGTGGCCTGCTGAGGACAGGAGGAAGCCCCTATAAGTGGATGGGTAGCCCAGGCGCCCCTGCTGGGGTGGGGCGGCCTCACAACTCAGGCCAGGACCCTGAAATCCCGGGAGCCAGCCACCCCAGGAGCCTGGAACACAATGGGCACCAGGGACCCCTATGGGAGGAGCGCTGCAGCCCCCAGTAGTGGGCGGAGCAGCCGGCTGTTGCCCCTCCTGGGTTTGTCAGATTCAGTCGTCCCATGCAAACTCCACACCAAGCTCATGAAGAAGGCAAGGGGTTCCCCGCGCCCGGCGTGACCTTAAACCCCGCCCCCTCCAGGTGAGTTGAAAACACATCTTGAGAGTAGATGAGGCTCGGGGCGGCAGATGCGGCAGGAAGAAGCCTCTCTCGGCTTCCTCTCGGGGCACGTTGGGGGAAGGCCAAGGTGCAGGGGGAAAACCCCCGAAAAAGGGCCTTTAGGTAAAAAAAGGGGGGGGGGATTTCCCAGTGCCGCCCTTGACTTGCTGCGAGTCCCAGCGCCCCGGCCAGACAGCTTTGCTCTGGCCTGGCTGTCCCTCCCGAGGGCCTTTAGCTTCCTCCGTCGGCTCTGCCCGCGTCCTTACTGGTCCTGGTCATTTATCCCCGCTCTGGGCGCTCAGGGAGCCCTGGTCAGGGCCTACACTCGTGACCGCCCCCGCAGTTTCCGTCCCTGGCGGCTTGCCCGCGCCTCTTGGGCCAGCCTACAGAGCCACCCCCGGGGCGCTGGCTTAGGGTCGGCCTCCCGGTTTGCCTCCGGCTGGCGCCCCCGCCCTCTTCCCCACTCTACTGTGCCTACGGTGGCGGCGAGGCCAGGAAAGTTCCCTCTTCCCTAGCCCCCGCTCCGGGGTACTAGCTCCGGCACCCCCGGGGTCCCGAAGCCAACCGCCTGGGGCTGGCGCAGGTATTCGCCATCTCCTATCATGCATCACGGCTACACTATTCTTTCTCTTCGCTCGTAGACTCTTGTTTCGTTTTTAAGTTCGAGGGAAGGACGTAAAGAAACTAAGAATTGCGCCTCATGGTTCTTCTCTGCTAGGAGGGTCAGCGCCTCCTTTTCTCCGCCAGGAGTCAAAGGACGGCGCCTCTGCCTGAGACCATCTCCCTACACTCTCTCTACCCGAATTGGCCTTAAGATCCTGGGAGGATGAATCCTTTAAACCGCATCCTCTTACCAGAGAAGATGAGGTGTGCCTGGGGAAGGAGGATCGGAGCGCACAGAGATTGGGAATCCAGGCTCGCCCTTCCATGGCCCAAGTCGTGCGCCCCGGCGCTACCCATCCTTGGCGATGGCGAGGCGAAGGGAGAGAGGCAGCAGAGCTGGCGCCCCTGGCAGCGGTGCCAACTCCACCGCCCGCGCCTCGGTGCTCCTCGGGCACCTTCGAAGGCTGGCGGTGCGGGGCGCTGATCCGGACGTAAGACGCATCTTGGAGGCCGTCAGACCTGTCGGGTGCGCCCTGCCCTAGGCGT